TTGGTTACAAGCAGGCATGTGGACAAATCATTTATTATTACAGGGGTGAAGGCAGACTGTGGACCATCTGTGATTATATTGAGGTTTATGAATCTGAGAGTACATTGGTTTTGATTACTCTATGCCCTCAAAGCAATAGTAAAGAAGGCAAATGCCTGACATGGATATAGGGAAATTATACTTGGGAAGCATGCAAGTAATGTTTGTTGTTGTTTCCATGCTACTATGACTGATGGAGAAAGAAACTAGAACATTCAGAATGTGTGTGGCACAAGGATTTGGGCACCTCACTGGTACAGGAGGTAAGCAATGGTTATGAACTAGATGAGAGTCAAATCATAATGAAAAAGACCACATGCATGTAAAAGATCAAGTGGTTTTAAAATCAAAAAATTGCAAATGGTAAACAGGAGAGGGAAACAGAGTGGGAAAGGGAAAAAGAAATTAGATTTTGAGAACTAGAGAGATTTTTCAGTGGTTGAAGTGCTTGTTGTGCAAACTGAGAACCAGCGTTCAGTTCTCCAAAACAGACATAGAAACCAGATGGATATAATAACCTACCTATAATCTCAGGATGAGGTGAACAGAAGCAGGGGACCTCTGGAGCACTAGTGATATCTAGACACACCCTATGAGTGAGCTATGGGTTCAAATGAGAGGCCCTACCTCATTGAACAAGATGGAGAACATTAGCAACTTTATACATCAATCATGCCTTCACATATATGCACAAACATGCATAGCTATACAAATGTACCCACTCACATGAGTACATGCAAACCTATACACACACACACACACACACACACACACACACACACACACGACATACATACACGAACATGTACATATGAGAAAAATTTCAGATTATGTAGGAGTTGCAGCCAGATCATCTTTATGTGTTATTCCTGTGGAGTCATGTATTGCCACATTTATGAAGCCTATAATTTTCTGGGCTACTGCTGTGTTATGTCCTCTAGTCGTGTGTGGAGGACCAACCCCCACCACTATTTAACCGAGGAACTCTTGAGGAATGAGGAATAAGAGACTTAGAAATAGAGAGGAGAAAAACAGAGAGATAGACGCGGGTGGGCCTGGATCCTTATCCACTGGTCCTGACTGTCTCTGCCCTAGGGTATTTATAGGAATGCTGAGGGTGGAGCAAAACTTCCCCTCAGCACAGCCAAGTGCAGATCATCTCAGATAACTGCACTCAGACCCATGGTCCATTCACCCTCTCCATGCAGACATGCTGGGTAAAGCCACTAGGAAACCTGAAAATGGGCTCCCACAATCATGACAACAGATCATCTCTGATTCATGAAGGTTCAATTTATTACTATACTTTACAATAATCTGAACCAGTAGTCAGCTGACATTATTTTGATATTCTTTGCAGTTGTATATTCTCTTCCACGCTAACCTGAGTGCTGGTACCCTGTCAGCCATGGCATCAAAAGTTTATTCCAAAAGTATTATACAGTCTTTTGAATTTTAAGCTACAAAGTTTGTTAAAATATATTTAATGCCAATTCAGTTTATGGTATTTTTAATTTTAAATGAGTTATTTAAGTCATATTCAATGACATGTTTAAGACATGACCTTGTTATAATAATGATGTCTTTAGCATGGAATCCAGCCAGTGGTTTAACAGTTAATGATTAGAAAAATTATATAATGAAGAGTATTGTGAAACTAACCAGGTCATCATTGTCAGTAAATGGTGGATTATTAAGGGCCATACTTTGCAGCCTAATATTTGACTGATTATTGGTCTCATGTCAAGTGAGTCTTTTGAGGTACACAGTAGAATGATGTGACAATAAGAAAAAGGAGGATGGAGCATATACCTCCCCTTAAGAAAGAAAAATGGTACTTTACTCTCAAAGGATATGTTTTGATTCAAAGATCTTGAAAGAAAGATTCAGTTACTAGTTTGCTGCTAGAGGTTTTCTGGCTGATAGTGATGCATATTCAACCAGGGCATGGTGAAAAATTTCAGAGACAACTTCTAAAGAAATAAGTTAATTATTTTCTCTTAAGTTTAAAATTTCTGTTGATGCTCAGTACAGAGTCTTTTTTGGGGGTGAGATGACATATGATATTGGGAGCTTATGTCAGAAGAAGCCTGACAGAAATGAAATGGAAAAAGAAAGAAACCAGGCATTTATAATGCTCGTTGATTGCTAGGCACCATCTCTTAAAGGATTCACTGCCTCCCAGTACTGAGGATTAGCACTTTACCACATAAAAATTGGTAAGATTTAAGACTGCAAAGAGATTTGGAGAATGCTAGGGTTAATGTAAAAATGAGTTTCATTGAGTATAATGCAATTTATGTCTTGTGTGTTGTTTTGTATTTTTGTGACTATCCATATTTAGAGGAAGATAAAATGTATTTTTCATATTTTATCTAGCTAATATTTAGAAAATATTATAATGTATTCTAGATGTAGAATTCTAGATTCATGAATATTTTATTAAGTGTTCCTCTCTTCTTTTTCCTATCTTTCCCAACAGTATAAAGAGATACCATATTTAAATAAAACACTTTAATTCTGGAACCTGCTTTTAATGGTATATGTTCTTACCAGCAGAATTGATCCTATATATCTAATCTTTCTTGAATATGCTTTAAGTGTACCGTTTATACTTTCTTCTATGTTTTGGTAGCAAGATCTTCTAATATTTTTTTCTACTTTTTCTCTCAAAGTATATTTTTGGTACCTTACACTATATTCTATAGTCATATTTTCCTGCTATATGGTGGTTGTATATTCTTGAGCTTCTTGAGGATGTTAATTATTGTATTGTATTTGTTTTGTGGGGGTATATTTTGTCTTTTTATAACATCTTGTTAGTTTTTATTTTCATCTTGTTCTTCTTCTTCTGGAACTTTTTTTTTTCTTTCCTATTATCCAACAAGATTTAGATAGGGTGCATTGCTCTAACCTTGTTGACCCCACCTCAGGAGAGCTCAGCATAATGGACTGTGCATGTCTTAGATTGGCTTGCTACACAAGCTTGTATTACTCATTGACTACCAGCCCTGGAAGAGCATCAATCCTGGAGAGCTATCCAGGTGTTGGGCTTTAGGCAGTAGCCTTCTATATCTCAGTGAGCCATGTGCGCATTATCTCTCTAGGAGGACTTTGATCTAGGTGTCTGAGAGCCAACAAAATCTGTAGGTTTGCCTTTGTGGTTGCCTTCTGTTGGTGAACCTGTTGGAGAAGATATTTGAACAAGAGAAGGATTAGTCAAAAAATTCAGTCTCCAGGACATGGATGGAACCCTAGTCATTTATTGTGCCAATCAAAGTCTTTCTGGTGATGCATTAGAGACCTTGCAGGGAGTGAGACAATTGTTTTACATGTAGGGTAGCATGTCTGTGATGACATGAGCTTTACTAATGCCATAATAGTGAGGCAAATTATACATTACCACTCTGAAGCTTCTTCTTTGGCCAAAGTCTATTGGTCTGTTTCTAGACACACATCTATGAAGGTATCCATATCAGGATGGTGGTATTCTGGGGAAAATGCAAACATGCCCTTGCCTCTGGGTTAATAGGGGAGCAGGGAGTTACACTGAAGGGTGATGGGCACATATGACAGGGTTAACATATGGTTCTCAGCCCATGAGCATCTCAAGAGAAACAGTGATATTGTATTGTATATTAAAATGAGTCTGAGCCTCAGCCTGGCCATCATAGGCAGCTCACCAATTAAGAAAGCCCAAAGGATCCAAGACAACCTTTATCAAATGGTACCAGTCATAATAAGTCAGTAAATGCATTGCTCATTGCTGTAGGACTTGCTTAAAATATGGCAAGTCAGCACCTGATTCATTAGCAGCCTTACGGACCAAAGACAGGTCTGAAAGAGAGGTAGGTATCCATGGCTTATTGGCTACATTGGGGCCCACATTAACTGGAAAAGCCATGGTGGACATTTGTGGCACCATAGGTGGAACAGGCTAGGAGTTATGTGAAGCAGCTGGCTTGGCAGGCAGACATCCAGGCAAATAACTCCATGGATACTTCAGTGGTAGGGTAGCCACTCAAGGCATGGGGGGAGCAGAGACAGGGGCTGTCAGTGTAGGCTTGGGTGCTTCTGCAATCATTTCCTCTCTTTCCATCCCTTTCATTTACTTTACACTTATTCTCATCCATCTCCTTGTCAGCAGAGGTGTAGGAAATATCAGTCATGGATGGAATGAAGGTGATAGATAGGTTGGTGTTACATTGTTCCTGGCAGTGCTTATTGTGGGCCCTAATGACCCCCTCAGTAGAGGATAACTTTATGGCAGAGATTATAGCCAATAAAATGGACATAACAAACAATTTGAAGGTTACTCCTGAGGCCACTTCCCTTTTTCTGGCCAGGAACAGAACTTTCATCCAAAGATCAGATTCCCACATGTTCTCTGAAGAGATCCATGGAGCAAGCTCCACAGCCTTTCTAAACCTTTCTAGTTCTGATGTTGTAGCCCACAGCCCCTGTCTGGTTAGAAGGGAATTAAGAGCACCAACTGGAGGCTCTTTATGATGAGGGAAGAAATTTTCCATAGTAGTAGAAGGTGTGATATCAACAGTGACTCTGTTTCCTGAGGGTCCAGCCCTTATATGGAAACACCAGGCGAGCCTGAACAAAAGTATGTGCCATCCTACCATACAGACAGATTCACAAAAAAGAGAGATAAAAAGAAGCCAGTGGGGGTTCCAGCATTTACCTGCTGAAGGGAATGAAAACATATCATGTAGAGTGGCCTACTTACCAAAATACACCACTTAAGGGGGGTGCTCAACCAGCACTGAGCATGAGGAAAGGGAGACAAACAGTCCCTGTTGCCAAGCATCAGATGACCAGGTTTTGGCACCAGATGTGGCAGGGTCCTGTGCTGTTGTTCCCTTTGGGGGAGGGGGCCAAGTAGGTGCAGAGTCAACAACAATACAGACTCTGGGAGAGTGTCAAAACAACAAGCTCAGTTTATTTAGGAAGAGGCAAGCCTTATATACCCTCCACCCTACCCTGGGGGAAGTTCTGAGAAATATGCATCTGTTGGTATGACATGGCTACTTCTCATTGGTCCAAGTCATCTCCAGATCATGTTTCAGCTGCTGTTGCTAAGGCCCTTAGGCAGACCCAGGTTGGCTCTCAGAAAGTATCATTGTTTGGGCCTGGTGGCCTTCAAGCCTATTAGGGGTGAGCCAACCCATACATGGCATTTCTTGTTCTTTAGATACATCACAGAACATTTTCTGCCATATTATCACTCAATTTGCTTCTTCTGTGTCTTTACATGATATCAAATTCATATAAGGAAGTCATTCCTATTGAAGTGAGGAATGACTCTCTTCATCATGAACACATTTTATAAAACTGTGGTCAAGGATAGGACATGAATGTCTCTTAATCATCTTTTCTTTTCTTTTACTTTTTTTGAATAGAATAGCTTTATTTTGGCCTGAAGTTGTAATCTTATCTCAGTCTCCTAAGTGCTGAGACTACAGGCATATAACTCAGCTAGAATTAAGCTTATTTAGGAAGACTTGGATGTACAATGATGGCTACATCCATAATTGTAGAAGTAAGAAGAAAGTCAGATTCAGTTTACACAGCTCTCTTAGTATTACTCTCCAGGTAGCCAGACTTTTTGTAGGACAGATAACTACCTCCAGAGTGGGTGCTCTATAAAACAAAAAACAAAGGAAAACCTTTGAGTTTTTGGTTTGGACTCTGGTATAATTTGTCTTCCCTCCCTATTCTATTGATCAAAGCTGTCATTGGTCCCAGCTGATTTAAAAGAATAACAATTTCTATTTTGCTTTTCAAAGATAGAAATGACCCAAGTACATGAACTCATTTTTAATCTATACTAACCCCAATTAGTCTGACCCAAAGTTAACTTCTGGGATTCAAGATCATAATGAGAAGGTCTTTTATGTGTTATTGTACTTTTTTATTGAGCAGTATTATTGAGAGATGGAATACTAACAAATTCATCTGTAATCTTCATCAATTTCAGACATAACCTTTATAACCCTGTGAGTCAGCATTTCAAGCTGTTCTTTATATTGGGAATCAATCAAACAGTCAATGCTGTGGATCATTTCCCATGGGCCTTGAGCAAGATGCGTAAAGAATTAAAACTGATATTATTTAGTCTTAAGTTTCCAAGTCAATGGCTATGTTCTTTGAACTACTTTTCCTTGGATTCCAGGTGATTGAAACCTAATGAGCCCAAGTTCAGAGAAATAAGGGAAAAAAACCTTAAAAAAAAAAAAAAAAGAAGAAGTATGGTAGTGAATCCCTCTGCCATTTCCTTCCCTATTCTCAGAGGTGGTAGAGTAGAAGACTCCATTAGCATATTGCTGTGTGGTTAATGGTGGAAGACATATCTTAGAGAAACCCTCATTCTGCCACAAATTGTCATGTTATTTCATTTTGTTTTTTTATTGCCAGTATTCTAGACACTGAGCAATCTATAAACTCCACATTTTTATAACAAACAAATGTGGGTTTTTTTACATTGGGTATCAATATAAGCAAGATAACAGAAAGCAGTAAAAATAGCACATTGGAATGTTCCTTGCCATATTAAATATATACTGTTGCTGATTACTTCTGCAGACTGGAACTGAAAACAATCATTTCATAGGCCAAGTGTTACATGGTAGGTGGCTGGCTTTCTTGTAGCATGCTCCAGAAAAGACATCACATATGGACCTCAGCATGGAAATTCCCACTCAGATTATTTTTATAATAAGATAAAGCCATTTGCTTTCTTACTTTTGAGTAGGTAAATTAAAAGTTTAGGGAGGGACTGTCTGTAAGCATCCTTCCAACTTTTGAATCTTGATTTTGTCTTTAACCATTACAGATGCTTCAGAATAGAACTCACTTACTGGTTCACTTACTTTTTTAAAAATATAAGTCATGTCCTGTTTTCTGGTTTTTGTTTTGTCAATTTAACACAAATAGGGTGGTTAGAAGAGGGGGCCTCACCTGAGAAACATCCTATATAAGACTGGTTTATACGCTAGCCTATGGGAATTTTCTTGATTGATTATTGATGTGGAAGAGTCCAGCACACTGGAAGTGGTACTTTCCTGTCACCGGACAAGTTGTCCTGAGATGCATAAGAAAATGAATTGATGAAAGTCAGGAGGGGCAAGCCAGTAAGCACCGTTTCTCTCTGGCCATTGCTTCAGTTCCTGCCTGCAGGTTCTTCTCTTAACTTCTTCTGCTGACCTGCTTTGATAATGGACTGTGATTGGAAGTTTAAATGAAATAAACCCACTTCTTCTCAAGCTGATTTTGTTTATGATGTTTTATTACAGAAATAGAAACCCTAACTAAGCCAAAGTATGAGGATGAGTGAAATTTCATAGAGACAAAAAATTATCCTTAGAATAGGTCTAGGCTATATTGATTCTACTGGGCAACAGGCTTAGCATATTATCTGCAAATCAGGAGACTTTATTGAAAAAGATAGTTTTGAATAATTATCATCTGTTTGGAGCTGTTATTTTATAATTTCATACACACACACACACACACACACACACATACACATATAGATATAGAATATAGATTTAACTCAGTGACTCAGTGCTGGTAATTGTCTTCAGGACTGCCTGTAGGAAACATCAAAAGTGGTTTGGTTCTTTGGCATTACAACTTTCAAAGTGATTTCTCCTCCCCCATCAATGTCACATGTGCGTGTTTAAACAGGTTTTGATTTGTAAATGTAAAAACACCCTACAATGCATCTTCCCCAGTGTTCTTACATATTTTACTTTGATTTTATGTTGCAGGTTAATGTGCTCCCAATTATTTCTTTACCCTCAGCTTGCGACACATTACTCATCCCTGTAGATTCCTGGGGATTTAACAGTCTATTATTCAGTTTTCCTATGTGTCTCATTACCGCATTACAGTGTGAACTGTTATCTCCTCTTATACTTTATCAGACGCTCCATTGTCCCAAATCAAACACATCTCAAGAAAGCCTAACTGATTCCAAATGAATGAGGTCCTCTGTAATACTGCAAGCTAGAATGTCACTAATGCCAATCAACCCTGGTTTCTTTTTAAAACTACAGGTTCATTTCAATTACTTTCTTTCAGTTATCTTGATATGAGTTATTCAGAAATGTGGTTTGTTAATGGTGTTTTTTTTGAAAATATTTCCTTTGTTTCCTATCTTAGCAGATTTTATTTTCAGGTTTGCATGAAATGAATGGATATCATACCAAAAAAAAATAATCTCTGGATGCTGCAACTACACATTCCTTCAGGGTGACTTTGGGTTAGATGTGGGACTATTAAATGTAATTATCTGTGACAAATTTTAAAATGAGTATAAAAGAACAAATAACTTTGTGAATGTAACATGTTACATATGTGCTTGTGCATCTTTGAAAAATTCAAAAATGGACAAATATTATATCTTTTAATTCATTTGCCTTAATTTAAGCTTAGACAAATTAGGAAGGCAGTCTCTGGTGAATAAAATATGTATAATTTATGCACACTGCTGTTTATCTTCTGACATCTTTCTGTACTAACAATACATTCAATGAACAATAAGTGGAGCTGATAAAAGAATATAGACCTTGTTTTAACTCATGTTGTTGTTTACTTTTGTGTTTGACTTACCTTTCCTCCCACACATCACCCTCTGTCATTTGTCTTTGTTTCTGGTGATCACCACAGGATAAAACATCTCACTATTTTCCCCTAGGACCAATGAGCAATCTAATTAAATTAATAGGTTGTATAAGCTATTTTAATATGCATATCTGTAAACCTGTCATATCTAAAAGTAAGCTGTGATAAGAATTCTTGTGCATATTTTTAATTGTCATCCCTCAATATCTTTTCAACAATTTCAGAAAACAGACAAATTTGTTAAGTGCTTTCTAATGGCTCCAAGAAAAATCAAGTAGCAATGAGCCTTCACATCTCATTATTGTTTTACATCTCAGTATAATTTTAAACACTGTTTCAGATTAAAATTAAAGACTCTCATTTAAAAATTAATACACAACCAACAAAATATAGTCACAGAAAAAATATACTGTTTTAAAAAACAAGAGCAGTCTCATTCTCTCAGAGTACATGAATAAATATCAACATCAGTTTCAGCAGTCTTTGCTGCCTGGATGCAGACACAGGAGAAAACACATAGCTCCTGCCACTTCTGCATGCAGAGGATGATTTGTTTATGTTATTAGCAAAATCAGCTGAGTGAAACCAAGCTGGATGTGGCCCAGAGAGTCTGCTGGTGCATTTTTCAGAAGCAGTTACATGTATATGGCAGATGAATCAGACAGAAACAACTGAATATTTTGTGTATATCAGATTTTCTAACATGCATTTGAGACCTGTCTATATACCTAAACGAAATCATTCCTTTGGGGCCTATAGACTCTGTACCGATATCTGAGAAAATACTTCAGCCTGTGCTAGAATTCTACTAGGAAACATCAAAAGACGTTCTGGGAAAATGGGAGCTGTAGTATATTCAAAGTAAAAACAATGGAGGTTCTCCTGAATACTTATATTTTTACATAGTTAAAATATAATTTTCTGTACATAATTTTTGCCTCAGTTGCTTTTCTATTGCTATGCTAAAATACCATGACCAAGGCAGTTATAGAAGGAAGGGTTTATTTGGAGCTTATAGTTGCAGAGTGATAAAAGCCGATCACCATCATTGCTTGGGTGGTATAACAGCCGGCAGGCAGGCATAGCAAAAACAGGAAGTAGAAATTACATGGGGAATAGCCCCAGTCTTTTGAAACTTAAAAGTTCATCTGCAGTGACATATTCCCTCTTTCACAGTTTACACATCCTACTAATTAAACAACCACCAACTGGGAAACAAATATTCAAGTGCCTGAGCCTTATGGGGGACAAGGCAGTCAAACCACCACACTTTCCAAATAGCAGTTATAATAGAGATATAAAATGGCTCTGTGTGTTCAATCACAAAATAAGATTTGAGTGCTAGATGTTAAATCTGAGTAAATGACTACAGAATTACATAAATTCATCTACATGTGTATTCATATTGTTTTATAATAGTTTAATCATTGATAATATCATTCAAATTAAAGTCCTGACTTCCATTTAGAAGTAAATATGGATACTTCATAATTAAAAGTATGGTACTCAAAACAATGTCAAACATGGGTACCTATTATAATGTTGCTTCTGTTAAACCCATCTCTAAAGACTTTGGTGGGAATGATGTCATATAACATGCACAGCCATTAAATGTGGGATCAAGAAATGAAAAGACTATGGGAAAAAGTTCCAGATTTGATGGGCTCCTCTTATCAACATTATCATATCACACTACCAAGCACCTTCATAGTATACAAATTATTAAATAATTTATACCTATTGACATCGGGCTTGGTGAGAATTTGTGAAAAGAATTGGATAAATATGAAAAAGGGTGGAGAAGACATTTGAGAAACTGAAGAGAAAAAGAAAACACAAGTCCTCAAAATCGGATGAATTGGAACTGATTATGTGGAGACAATGCAGCACATAGGCACTGAGGGACAGCAAAAACATGGGTATTGAAAATAAAGAGCTGAGGATTGGAGAAATGGCTCAACAGATTAAAAACATGTTTTGTCTTGCAGAAGACTGTAGTTCAGTTCCTAGTATTCACATGACTACCCACAACCAGCTGTAACTCCAATTCCAAATGATCTGATCCCCTTTTCTGGCCTCTGAGGTCACCAAGCAGGCACTGATGCATACAGATATATATGGACAAAATAATCATATATATATATATATATATATGTATATATATAGTAAAAAAAAAGTAAATATTTAAGTTAAAGGAAAATGCAGAACTGATGCTTGGGGAAAAGATCAATGTGTCTCTTTGTGCATAAGTGCACATATGTGTAGATGCATGTGTGTGCATGTGAGCATGTATGTGTATGTGTGTGTGTCTATGTGTGTGTACATGTGTGTACGTGCATGCACACATGTTTGTGGTGTGGTGTATTACCATGAAAAATTTGTGTGAATTTCTTCTATTACTGAAATTTCTTAATGACTGCAAACTAGGGAAATCTGTACGTTTCTTACAAATAATTCATGTTCCATATTTTTGTATGTGAAAAATCAAAAACAGCCACTAAAGCTTTTAATTTTCATTCGGTTAATTTAGGAGTCTTCACAAAGACTGTTTACCTATATGAACACAGGTTTACTGTGATACTTGTTGTGCTAAAATGAGCTGGAATACCACTCAGGAGGCTGTTTGCCCCAATACTGGAAATCGGTTGAATAGCTGTCCATGATATAACAACTTTGGAGTGGTTGAAATGCTTAAATTTAAAGAATACAAGGAAATACCCCTTTCTTTGTAGAATCACAAAGAATAGAAAAATTGAAGCTCATGGGGCTGATTCTCTCACACTGGCTCAGGAAACAGGAAAATTGGATGGCTTTACAATCTAGGAGACCAAATTTGTCAGCAAACACCTCAACAGAGGAATAATTGCAAAGTCATAGTGATTTTCTTCCTTCAGAAAAACTGAAATAACAAAGAGAAAGCACCATCTCCTTTCAAAAACATGGTTATGAGCATCAATTTGATGTAAACTACAGAACAAGAAGACTCCAAGGCCAGTTTATGGTGTTAATCAGATACACTTTTTGAAACGTTTTACAAAACAAGACAAATATGCATGTTGCATAGGAAGTGTGAAATGATTACTTTTGTCAAATTATTTATGTTCAAATTATGCAGACATGCTTATGATTTTAAATGACAGCTTTGCCTTCTCTGGGTATGATTTTCCTATTTTCTCCATTAAATACTTGAAATCACTATTACTCACTGATTATCTGTATTTCTTTTTCATTTCTCTTACAAATAATCTTGGTTCAATTATCCATAATATTTAATATGTGACAACATCAACATGACCTCTAGCTATCTCTCTGTTTTTCTCACAAAACAACATATTTTCTCAAAGAAAGCAATCATGCAGATGTAGGATAAATCTGTACCCACCTTCAGGTGAGGGGTCCAACTCCTGTTCAGAATAAGAACTAAAATGCAATGCCTTACTCTCCAAAGTTTGCCATGTTTCAAGACTATGTGGTCACTCCAATCTGTTAACAGTGATGCTGATGTTAAACCATTCACATAAAATTTTGCCAATTTGTCCAAGTACAAGAACTAAAATTACCATTTTTGAATGATTTATAAATGTCAGATAGTCATTAAGTATATGTATTTTTCATGCTTTATATATTTGTTTCTCTAAGAAATATAATTGCACTTATCTGACTTTGAAATATTTTCCTGCTATGTGCTATTTGATTTTGTTTACTCTGCAAAACCAATTGGATATTACAGAACTTATTAGAAAGTATTAATAATAAATAGGCTACTGAAGTCTATTTATTGTTCCAAACCCTTCCTTTAAGTTTTGTTATTGCCAGATCCTGGTAGTCTAAGAGCAGACTTCCACAGGTATAGTATTCTTCTGAGCTCTCTCCAACTCTACAGCACTACACAGAGTTTTACACACACAGCTGTGTATTATCAGAGCCCCAGTTCCTTTTGTAGATGATCTCTCTCCAAAATGATATCTATTTTCTCATAAAATTTATTCAGAATAATTTTTAAAAGACAGAAAACCATAAAGTAATTTAGAAATAAACATCTTATTGCCTATAAGTAATGGTTTTAGAATAACTATATTTCCTCCAAGTAGCTGTCTACAAGCACAAAGTAAAAATTAGTCACCTTGGAAGTAATATATAGCCATCATAGCCAACATTAAAAAATGACTTTCATAAATATTTTCTTCAAAAGTAAAAAAAAAACCAATAAATTTTGATAACTTCCTGATGTTGTATATATTTACCTAATCAGAATATCAAATATGAACCTCTACTTGAATTACTATGATTACATAATATACTTGAAGAAGTATTCCCTTTCACCTATAACTTAGTTTTTGAGCAAAAATTTATGGTAAGATATTTCAGGATAATATTAGGTTAAAAAAGATCATTTTCCCTATTTGCAGCTAGAAATTCACCACAGAGACTAAGAGGCATAAAGTTCACAAAAGCTATAAATCAGGATTCTTTAAATAAAAAGGTGATAAATTATTACATGACTAATTGTACTGTTAGCCTGTCTCATTTTTCACTTAACACCCATACTATATTTTAGACAACCATGTCAAACTCAGTTTGATTGTTGCAAATATGTTCGATCTTCCTTCCATCCTCTCTTGTCCTTTTCACAGACAGCACCTGAATATATCCTCTAGCAGCCTTTAATATTTCTGAAGTGTGCTATCGACTTCCATGTGGCAATATCAAAATAGTAGCTCTCGTTTCTTACATCCTTGAAAGGGTGACACTTTTATACTTACTGCGTTTTGTTAATCTCACGGATGAAATATTGCATTATTTTAGTTTCATTTCTGTTTCTTTTATTATAACAAGACAGATCTCATCACTAGTTAACTGTAAAATTGTTCTTCTTCTGTTGCATATAAAGAGAAATTAGCTTTCCAAGAGACACATTAGCCTCATTTTTCTCAAGCATAATCATTGTAACTCTTACCTTCTCAGTGTATTACATGAAATAAAAGAAACATATTTTCAGTTCTGTTTAATTAGGAGATTTTGTTATTACAGGGAACACAAGCTTGCTATTCTTCATCTCCTTGAGGACTATGTCACAGTCTAATGTCTTTTCTGTTTTCACATACTTATTCTATGACTAAACATTCAAAATCATCTATATCAGATACACATTTAACTAAAACAACCCCAAATGATCCTACTACTTAACAGAAAGGTTAATTTTGTGTTGGAACTTAAGCTATGGATGAGAAGGCTACAGAGTGCATATTGTGTCTTAAATCATAGCAGGAACTTAAAAGAGCAGAAACAAGAAGTCTGGAAGAACTTACCAGAGAAGCCTACGTCCTGGGCTGAGAGCATTAGAAGAGTTTTCAGAAATCCTGAGGTATTGCTTGCAGTATCTTCTTTAGGGTCATTAGTCATGCTAGTGCACTATCACCTTTCCGAGACATAAGTTAAAAAGTAGTTATAAAATGTATTTAAATATCAGAGATCTAACAGCCACCACTAAGAAAGGTAATTATTTGTTCCTCTTTATTGGGTTATACTTGCAAACGTCAAACATTTCTTCTGGGTCCAGTCTCATGATGTCTATATTGTTTTATCGGTTTGTTTCTTTAGACACAGGTAACTATTACAGGGAAAACAATCCCAAGTTAAATACAGTTTTATTCTATAATAATTCATGTCAACTGGAGTGTGAACAGCTGTTCTTTTAGAAAATATCACCATGTGCCTGTCTGTTTCAATCTGACCTCCTGAGACATGCCTGTCAATAGACTCTAAGAGGCTTGTGTGAAGATGAAAACAAATGGACATGAAGAATTCAATTAATTAAACAAAAATTAATACTTGGAATCCTACTTGGATAAGGGAGAAGGAAAGTTTCTGTTTCTCTGCACAAGTTGAAAGGTTTCCTTCTCTTCTGGTCTCTTAATTTTCACAAAATACTTGACCTTCTCTTCCATTGTCTCTTAGAATAGTTGTCCAAATGATAAAATCAGGGAAATAAGTATTCTGTGTTTTGATGAGTGCTTAGGGGCATACAGATTGAATCCCTTCCGTTTCTAGCTCTACTTGGGTTGGGTGTTCCCAGTGTTATTTAGTTAGCATTCTCTTGCTCTGACAACAATTCTAAGTTCTCGTGGCTCATGGCATAGCTGTCTGTAAAGCCTGCTTGGAACAAGCCTTTAGGACAATAGCATTTTTTCTTATGTTGATGAGTAAAGTCTCTTACCAGAAAAAGTTATATCGACAACCGATCGCTTGGAGAAGACACTACTGTTGGCTGCTTGACCTATCTCACACACTCAATTTCCTTCATCTCCCTCCAATTTCCCAGCATCCAATGGGAGTAACCACTAAAACTAACCTAGGTAGTTCCTGCTGCCTTGTGTCCTATGTCCCAATACTCCTTTCACTATGAATACACTGTTTATATAAACCTGGTGCTTCATTCTTTAAATGCATGAGGTTTTCTGGGCACAACTTTTATTTTTGCCCTTTAGATAAAATACATTAAATATAAGAAATTTATAAGGAATATATGAGGAGGAATTTTCTACTTAATTCAAAGTAGTATTATGTTTTTTGCAACCTTCCTTCATGTTGGATGTGTTTCTCAAGGTCTGGAGAGATGATTCAGTGGAAAAGAGCATTCGCTGCTCTTGAAAAGAGCCTGAGTTCAGTTCCCAGCACCCACATGACAGCTCCCCATTGTTGGTAACTCTCATTCCAAAGGCTCTGACACTTTTTTACAACCTTCACAGATGCTACAAGCATCCATTTATATATATACCCACATATGCAGGTGGCTTGATAACAGGATCAGAGAAAACTAGCCATATATACAGGAATTGTGATGTAGAGGTCTCTGTTGGAGCTGCATTCCTCACAATCTATTGACGTCTGAATCATGTCCAATTATTTAATAAATTTTTCACTTTGCTTCATATTTTGAAATCTGTTTTTGTTTGAAGCTAAGCTGTTCCTCAATGTCTCATGTTTTGTATGCTTGTTTGATAAGTAGTGCATATTTTAGAAACTGTGGAACCTTTAAGAGGTGGGCTGTGTCACTAGAGAGTGGAAGTATGTCACTAGGAGTGGACCTGTGAAGGTTGTAACCCGAACTCCCACTACCCTCTGCTTCCTAGATTCACACTATGTGGACACAGGTCCCTTCCCTCATGAAGTGAGCTTCATGTATCTGGACTTCCATGAACTAGTGAGGTCTGAATCCCTGGCCCCAAATAAACTTGCCTCTTCGAGGTTTCCTCCCTTAAGTTATTCTAACAACAAAAAATAAACAATTCAGGTCATTGTTTCTTTTTACATGCAGGTTACTCTTAAGGTTAAATAGAAGGTCATGATATGATGAATTGTTGCATATTTGCTTGTTTTTTAATTAATAAACTGTAAAACTCATCCACACTTTTTCTATTAAAAGTTTCACACAATGTTCTTTTGAATTTCTTTTTTTATGTATTCCATATTTACTTTTCTCTTCTTCAGTCTTTTTGGGTCTAAAGAACTTAATTTGTCACAAAATTTCTGTTAAATTTCAGATATATGTGTGTAGAATATATTGTGTAGGAAGTCACTGTTCATATATTTGTAGTTCTTACCATATACAATTATCACATATTTCCCCAATATAATCCTTCTAAGTCTCTAAATACTGTTCTCCATATATATAAACTTGGCATTTTTGTTACATGCCTAGACTACTATTATATTATAGTTCAATGTTTTAAATTACCAGTGTGAAAGGTCTTTAAATATTTTCATGTTGATTTTATATTCAAGAAAATTGTATACACTTCATTAGTGGTTTGTTCTCAATTTACCTTTCCTTGATATTTTACATAGACCACAACAAAGTCTTTAAATGTTAATAATATCTCAACTTAATATGTGCTTTCATTTTGCCCTTTTTTTCTCTTACCAGCCAAATCTAGACTACAATATTTTGTTATATATCTGAACTAGTTACGTTAGTATAATTTTAATGCCTGTGTTATAGGAATTCATGAAATTCATTTAATTTCATTTTTATAAAAACAATAAATTATCAGTAATAAAATACGAATTGAAATATTTCTAGTAGTTCAAAAGACATGTAAGTATAAAACAAAGGATATGTAATAAAATATATACTGTAACGGAAGCTCTGAACAGTGTTTTGTGATTATAGTGAATCTTCAATGATCCAATTACTATACGGTACTAAAAGATCCAATTACTATAAGTACTAAAAGATTTGTACTGTGTAAATAGTGTCTAATTCAGACTGTGATGGACTTCACTGAGAAATCAGATAAATTTGTAGTTCAACAAAGAACTTACATAATTTAGATAGAAAATTTAGATTGTATAAATGAGAACTTTTAATTTATTATTACTATTAATTTTTCACATATGTTTTGGGCAAAAAAATCTATACTGTATGAAATCCAAGAATATTTTCAATGTGTGTATGTTAGTCATATTTTTATCACTATGACAAAATATCTGATGGATATAGCTTAATGGATGAAGGATTTATTTTAGCAAGATTTCAGTTCATCTTTCTGAGGAGAGGCATGCTGTAGATTGGTGTAACATGACCATCCTGCAATATCTACTCACATTGCTGCCAACCAGAAAGCAAATAACATGACCAGAAGCAGGCCTGGACTAAGACCCAATCCCTTGGACTCTAATTCAAAAGTATGATCTCATCAGACATGTTTGACAACCTCACAAAACAGTCATCCTTGATAGAATCCAGGTATCCAAAAGTGTAAACCTAAAGAGAGCATTTTGAATAAAAACTAGAGCATTTTATAGAAGTATTATTTAAACATATTAGTAGAATTTCTCTTTTTATAGTTCTGTATTCAATAATCAGCCAATGTCCATCCACTGTGAAAGGATTATTCTTCAAAAATTTACAAAAAAATGAAACTTTTAAAGGTTATTTATGAAGATAACTTTAGAGTGATTAAATGTGTAGATACTTGAATATGTTTCAAGTTACTAAGTTTCACATGAATAAAACTAGGTTTTGTTATTATATGTAAACTACGCAGACCGAATGCTGACTACCTTCACACTTTTCTCACTTTCTGTCTGATACTGTGGCTGGTTTGCACTGTCATTTCATCTGAGTTTGGATATGCTTATTAAAGAGAGCACTCCAGGCTTGCTGCATCTTTACAGCTCACTGAAAAGAAATAGGACTTAATCAGCAACGGTCAAATCAGTTGTAATACTCATTCATGCTTTCTTTATGTTTGACCTTTGAATTTTAAAAAAAGAATCATAATGAATTACCCATGATAGACTGCATCTAAAAAAATAGAAATTATAGGTTAAAGCTATAATTAGTAAGATATTACTTCCATTTCAAGAAATGTTTTCCTTATAAGTGTTTGAAATTAACAAATTAACTGAATAAAAAAATCCTCAAGTAATGGTATAATAAGATAACTTACTTGAGATATGGTTTAATAAAAATGTCCAGTACTTTTTTTCTAATTCATTTTTCTAATTTTTCTAATACTGATACAACCAACTTAGTTCTATTATTGATGTCTTGCTCCCACTAAAACTGGATAGGTCACAGACGTAGGTCAGTGAACCTAAATCTAAATAATCATTTGCAGCCACTTTAAAAACCAGGAATAGGATGAAAATGCTGATAATTGCACTCCATCTGTTACAAATACTAAATTGATTTTACTTCAGAGTAAGGGCTAAAAACATGTTCAATATACTAAAAAGAACAAATCTATACCATATTGTTCAGTGTGCTATTATTACTATGAGTACATCATTTTCCTTTCAGATTTCATTGCAGCAGGGTTTAAGAAAATGATTGCAATCAATCTTTTAATATGTTGAGTGTAGTTCCTTGTTAGATGCAGGAAGGAACTTTAGTCTATCTTTAACAGTTTCTTGGTGTGTACAGATGCTAGTTCAAAACTTTGTTTTCCTCCTATAATTATACTGAACTTTTCACAACAATCAATACAAGTAAGAGGAATAGGTGGGTTAGGAGATAGTGATCTAATATTTATCTAACTTGACATTTCAAGCCAAGGCACTGGAAGTTTATGTAATCTTAAGACTTTTTTACATCTGGAGAGAAGAAAAAGAAACACACTATGGAAGTTTAAATCACTAAATAATTCTTATCTATAATTGAATGCTAGATTTAAACAACTATTCAGTTAATATCAAAGGAAGTAGAATTCTAAATCTATTCCACAAATTAACAGTTTAGTTAAAAATTGAGTGTTGTGATATATAACCTTAAGACAGGCACTTACTAAAATGGTACCAGACACAAGATTTCAAGGTCATCTTAAGGTTCATAGTATGTTTCAGGCCAGCCTAGGTTACATGAGATAGGCAGGGTATTCACCTACAGAATAGCTTGGTTAAGAAATTAGTTATTCTTATATAAAATTTAAAATTCTTGATATAATCATATTTTAGATTACAATAACTATCACCACAAAAAGTAAGCTAAGAGGCTGTCTCTAAATGTCTTTTACTATTTACCCTGAAATGCCATATTTCATAATTACCCGGACAATAAAACCAAGTAATATTTTAGGTAAAACTTTTGATCTCACAAGATTTGTCTGTATATTTTGTCATCATTTTAATTAAAATTTAATGACATTATTTCTCCCCTTTCCTTTCCTTCATCCAACACCTCTCATGCCCCCTCCCCCCATCTTTCCTATTCTCCCCTCAGTCCCTCTTAAATTGATGGACTTTGATAAAATTGATTGATGAATATATATATATATATATATGTATGTATGTATATATATGTGTGTTGTGTGGTTTGTGTATTATATATGTATATGTATTATATATATATATATATATATATATATATATATATATATAGAGAGAGAGAGAGAGAGAGAGAGAGAGAGAGAGGGAGAGAGAGAGAGAGAGAGAGACAGAGAGAGACAGAGAGAGGGCGGGAGGGAGGGAGAAAGAGGGAGAGAGAAATGTACTAATGCATAAATACAAAGTGATCAGTCCTGAAATCATATACACACAGATAAAATTATCTCTACACTGTGAAGTGGGGAGCCAATGAAACAAACAACTTTCACAGTGATACATTATGTAAATTCTTATTTGGAGGTTATTTTATTTATAACTAATTTTCTTTATTCACACTTGAAAAATAAAATGCATGAGCAATTTTTCTTACCCAGTAAATGCTTGCTTACTTGCTTGATTCTACTGACATCTCTGAGCAGTTTTAGGTAGAAATTGATGCAAAGCGATTTTGATGGAACAAATGCACCATTGTAGTTTATTACTTCCTCTTCCCTCTTCTTGGTCTTCATCACTTGGCAAAGATACCTATGACATGTGAATGCCTTACTTGTCTTTCTATAGCACAGTAATTTTCATTGTCCATGCTGCTTGAAAAGAGTGAAACAGTAATCACCCAGGTTAGCCAAGAGACCTCAGTATGCCTAGTTATCATGAAGCCTTAGTAGTCCGTCTAAAATATTAACTAAATATGAGAATAAGGTTTTAATTGTTGCTGTTACTTAACTTGCTAGCTTATGCTGTATTAGTCTCTTTAGTTGAGAGTTTTCAAGTAATTTTTCATAGTTACATTACAGTTCAGTACATATTTATAGTTGTTAATTATCCTCATATAAGTGCTATTATGCTAACATCCCACAAGACAGTGTTAGCATGTTAATAATTCCTTTATTAAAAAGTCCTTCTGGAAGAACACTAACAGTATGAGCTCAACTAGGTAAATAATACAGCAAGGATAGTTATACCCCTGCAAGATACAATGGCTATAAATTTATTTACTAAGCAAGGTTAGATATCCCTGTGGAATAAGACAGGTGTGGCAGGCAAATAGTGTCACCACAGGGCTCTGGCCACTATTAGTGGAATCTGCTGAGGAAGTGCTGTGCACCAGCATAAGCAGTGCAGTTAGCCAGACCTAACAAAGACTGAAGTCACTGTCATGGGTAAAACACTCAGCAAGTGCAGCAGTGAACATGCACCTCTCAACTAGAGTTTGAAACAGAGACTCAGCTCCAGTGCAGCAGGCTCTGGCTCTGTCAAACACGAATTTCTGCCCTTCCCTCTCCTACATCTGGCATTACTGGAGAGAGAATAGCTTGAAGGGGAAACTACACTCAAATGACAAACTAGAATAACCCTAGCAACAACAAGAAGAAAAGGCTGGGAATGGAGGGAGGAGACTGCAGTGAAATTGTTAGGAAGTCCCATCCCACAGAGAAAGACACAGTATGACTGTTTACTAAATGGACACATAACCAAGCTACCTTCTTTCTATCCATGCTTATCCCCACAGACTAGTGATGCCCTTACCCATGTCGTGCTTAGATGCTGTTTCCGAAGCTCTGTCATAGCTATGCATATGGTGGGTGGGGTTGGAACCCTTTTTGGAATTTCCCGTTGACTTCTGCAGTATTATACAGTTAGAATATCTTCCTATGACTCACAGTACTTCAACTCTAGGCTCTACACGCTGTGTAAAACCCACCCTCTTTGCCCATGGTATATTCAGCCCTGCTTCTGCTTCTCCAGTTCTCCTAGACTCCCAGTATAAATAATAAATGGACATGTACTTTATGCATAACTTGAATTTGTGAAAGGTATTGTGAATTATGTTGAAAATATCCTTATGTCATGAAGTGATTAGTGACAGCTTGTATTTGTTTTCCTAATGAGTTTTCTTTATGTTGTAAGTTTCCAAGATGTTTTGATATATTCTGAACATAAAGAAGCATTTTGGCAACATGATTATACAATAAATTTTATGTTTTCAATAATCATTTGTAAAACAGCATTTGAAAATATAAATGTACATTTCCCATTATTTTTTAGTTCTCTCTTTTACTTGATTGAGAGTGAAAATTTAATCTTTTTCAAAACCATGTACTTGACATCCTAGCCTAGGGTATTGTTCATGTCTGTGAATGAGTAAGCATTTCTAAAAGTTAATTTAAAATGTGAGCAGAATTCTTGGCTTCCAAAGTCATCAAAGTGGTTCAAAATAATTTTGGATGGATGTGGGAGCCCACAGAGGTTTCCTAGTAAGATCTGAGTTTGCTTTATACAGCAGGGCTGCATAAGGGGATTGACTGACTACTTGAATGGTTACCAGGTGATTGAAAGTGTCTGCAATCCGCTATGCTACAGGAAGGTCTTTTGCTCCACCCCTTGGCATTTCTATAAATAGCCCTTTAGAAGAGGCAGAAGGGGCTGGTGGGTTTTAACCCAGGCCCCCCTGAAGCTTTCCTGTGTTTCTGTCTCTCTCTTCCCTCTATATTTCTATCTAAATGTCTTATCCCTCACTTCTTAAGAGTACAATGGGTGAAAAAAGTGGGAGCAGGTCTCCCACAGATGGATGGTTTGAAAGAACATGGATGTTATATAAAGCGATCATATTTTGAAGAAAATAGTACTGATCAGTGTCATCAATGTCAGTACAATCACAAACCTCACTCATTTCCAAATTTAAATATCCAAATTTTATGTACTTTTCTCAAAAGTAAGATTCTTTAGATTGCAATTATAAAATATTTAATGTACTTGAGATAATTTTAGAGGATGTCTTGGAGTGGGTGACATTAGAGAGTGTAATTTCATGAAAGAGATTCTTTGTATTTTGAATGTCATTATACTTTTTAAAACTGCAATTTTAAAGTGATTTCTTTTCTCTCTAAAACTAGGCTAATTATCAAATCTTTGCATGGGAATAAATTGAGTACTCACTAATAACAGAATGAGTGAATAACAAAAGCTGTGGGTATTCATTCTTTCAACTGTTGAATATAATGTTTTAATTATTTTATATTATATGTATGATTGTTTTACCTGTATGTATTTCTGTGCACAATGTAAATATGTAGTGTCCACAGAAGACAAAAGAAGGCATTTGATCAGCTTGGGCTTGAGTTATAGGCAGTTGTGAGCCGGTGGGTGCCGGGCATTGAACATTGGTCTCCCTTAAGAGCATCCAGTGAGGTCAACTATTGAGCTAACTCCCCAGGACATGCTGTATATATTTTATGCCAATAAATTCCAAAGGACAATTATTGCAGCTAGCTATTTAAGAAGCACATGACTATTAATGGCAGATTGCATGTTTAATGAAGTGAATTACTTTTTAGTTTCTAGTATTAGTCAGGCAGTATGCTATGCACTGTGAATGCATAAACATCAGAGCTACAATTCCAGATAAAAGATAGATATCACTAAACAGTAATCACAGAACAAAATAGTATACGCCAATAACAAGGATAATTCAACATCAATAAAATAAACATGCATAGCAGATGTCTGAAAAGTACTAATGAAGACAATAATAAAGTACTGCTAGTTCTCTATAAGTCAGCAATGAGATATTATGAGAAACTGGGTTATTAGTGGACCTAAAAATAGACATGTGAAAACAATTATCTTACTCTTAAAGTGCAATATAATTTGTTGTGGTATTTTATTTGTTATGTAATGTGGTGATATTTTATTTGTGTGTTAATAAATAAAGTTTGCCTGGAGATCAGAGGAAATAGCAAGGCATTTTAAGTAAACACAAAAGTCAGGCAGTGGTAACATACACCCTTAATCTTATCACTTAGCAGGCAGGGTCTCTGTGTGTTCAAGGCCACACTAGGGAACAGAGGCAAGTGTGGTGACACATGCCTTTAATCACAGTACCAACCATAGAGATCTGTGTCAGGGACAAGGACAGAATCTCTAGTTAGTGGAAAAATACAGACCCCCGATAGGACAGGGAACTAGATCAGCTTATAGTCACAACCTTTAGAGGGATAGGGCCTCTGTAATCCTCCATGCAAAACCTCTTTCAGAGCCCTCCTTTTAGACCATTCGAACCTGGTTTATGTTGGCCTTTAGATTTATCACTAAGAAGGGGGAGATGCCAGGGACAAGGACAGAATCTCTAGTTAGTGGAAAAATACAGACCCCCATAAGACAGGGAACTAGATCAGCTTACAGTCAGGTTGCCTAGCAACAGGACATTGAGTCAGATCCCTTGACCCTCTCACCCTGTAAACATCCTATACAAACTTCCTGTTAGCTTGCCCCACCTTATGCAGATGACAGCTTCTTGCTCCCCCCCACACACCTGCAGGAACTACATAAACCCTTGTGAAAGGAAATACAGTAGCACCTTGATCAGAATCTAGACTTGGTGTGTTTTCCTTTGTATCTCCTGTCCCTACATTCCCTCCTTAGGGTGGTCGAGAACCCGTTGTAGCCCTGCAGGCGGGGCACTCTGGAGGTCTGTACAGACACACAGTGACAAGGAAGTGAGATCGCTGGGCTACCAGCCAATGAGAGGGCAGAACAGCAAGGCAATAAAGCACGAGTAGCCAGGAAGTAGCTCACTTGGGAAGCTGTGGCATGGTGAGGTAAGGTTAGCTGGTGGCTATTCCTATTTCCCTGATCTCTGAGGCTTTCACTCCTATATTTGCCTTGTGTTTTTTTTATTTAATAAGACCACATAGAAATTTGTCTACAGTAATTAAGTTTGTTTTCCTCTCAATTTTCTGAATAACTCACTGGACTCTAGAAATATGAAAACCAAATGAAATGCTATATTTTTTCATAAAATACAACAGCTTCAAGGCATATAAAATCTTATAGTAATCAATTGAAAAGCATTTCAAATTTTATTATAATTACTCAAGAAAACAAATGAAAAACTGGGTGGGTGTGAGATTAATTAGAATTTGAAGAAATCATTATCACTCCATGGAGTATATAAGCAAACAATTAAAAGTACTATAAAGTTGCTTTAAATTTATTCATATTATTTCTGGCTATTTCCACATGGCTGAGTATTACCACATTTTCTTTAACAATGTGAGGTTACTGAGGTATGAGCCTTCTTCTTTTCAGAGAGTGATACTGCCAACATGACCACCTGAATGTGAACTGCACAAGGACAACATCACCAGTGCACATGAGAAAATTGACTGTGAACATCCCATTAGGCTTCAACTCTACACAAAGAACTACAGGCAACTAAACAACACTGGGATGAAAGGTACTGTGCACCTCCCCATGGAAGAGCACAGCAATTGATTTTCCAGTGCCAAAATGTTAGCCCTGAGAGCATACTTACAAGTGACATTATAAGGACTCAAAATGTCACATTAAAAAATATATATAAGTATATACAAATACATATATGTATACAATAAAGGTTACTCATTGGAATTGCCATTTAAATATAAAACCCATGGGGACTTGAACTTATGCCTTATGTACTACTGTACTGCACCATATTGAAGTCATTATTGGTTTGATTTTCCAGGGAATTACAGATTTCTGAGTATTATCTGTGAT